AGAGTTTTCTTTGATGACATAAGATCTAATTGTAGAAAAAATCAAAAATTGTGGATAATTCTTTTTTTTACCTATATTACTGACTAGTAATCAGGAAGCCTCTAGCAACAAGATAAAAAAAAGAATTTCATTTTCCTTTCTTACGTCTGTATATAATTCAAATATAGAAAATATAGATTTTTGTATCTTTCTATATCTCCCGAGAATCCCCATTTTTTACTAAGAATCCCCGTTAGGTCGGATTCTAACGAATCTTTCGGTAATTTGTAAGAAACTCTTTTTTTATTAAATTTAAAGACAAGAAGAAAAGAAGAAGACTAATAAAATCGATTATCATACATATATTTTATGTAGAAAGTAGAAAGATGAATAAGTCCATTTAGTTAGTTCTACATTCCTTGCGCTTATTATATATACTCACTTAGATATATACTAATTAGAATTATAATTATTATAAGATATCTTTAATAGTAAATCGAGGTACCCATTCTATGGCAACTTTTGACTTTTCCTCTATTTTGGTACCTGTAGTAGGCATAGTATTTCCGGCAATTGCAATGGCTTCTTTATCTCTTCATGTTCAAAACAACAAGATTGTTTAGACCCGATGGGACTAAATTGCATCCATTTTTTTTTTTTCAAAACTTAGACTTGTATCATAACATTGATATTTATTGAGTGGAATATGGTATAACATGCGGCTTCCGCCGAACATAAATGAAATAGCTCTTATGCATGCAGAAACACGATATATGGGTAAATGAATTCTAGCTATTTTCAAATAGATCGGGATCGGCGGATATCTGAAATGGAAAGTCAATCTATCTATATGTGTGTTAATATCTCGAGTAGAATCATATGAAGGGGATGTTATTTTTTTATATCTAACCAATTTGATGAATTACTCCTAAAGGTTTACATCAAAATAGTGCTAGTTGATGAGAGTTATTTCGGAAACAAAAAGAGTAAAGTCAAATTCATTTGGGTTATTCTCTCAATTCCAATAAAATACAACCGGATCAAGTATGAGTTGGCGATCAGAACGTATATGGATAGAACTTATAACGGGGTCTCGAAAAACAGGTAATTTCTGCTGGGCCTTTATCCTTTTTTTAGGTTCATTAGGATTCTTATTGGTTGGAATTTCCAGTTATCTTGGTAGAAATTTGATATCTTTATTTCCGTCTCAGCAAATCATTTTTTTTCCACAAGGGCTCGTGATGTCTTTTTATGGGATTGCGGGTCTCTTTATTAGCTCCTATTTGTGGTCCACAATTTCGTGGAATGTAGGTAGTGGTTATGATCGATTTGATATAAAAGAAGGAATAGTATGTATTTTTCGTTGGGGATTTCCTGGAAAAAATCGCCGCATCTTCCTCCGATTCCTTATAAAAGATATTCAGTCCGTCAGAATAGAAGTTAAAGAGGGTATTTATGCTCGTCGTGTCCTTTATATGGAAATCAGAGGTCAGGGGGCTATTCCCTTGACTCGTACTGATGAGAATTTGACTCCACGAGAAATTGAACAAAAAGCTGCTGAATTGGCTTATTTCCTGCGTGTACCGATTGAAGTCTTTTGAGAAATGAAAACGGAAGAATAAGAATGAATGCTTTCTCGGCAGGAGGGAAAAACTCAAGAATTCGCTCTATAACATAACTTAACTGAAGTTTCTTCAGAACGCTCATTCGAGCCAAATCAAACGTATACGGAACAACCATAAAACAAACTTTTTTGTCCACAAAAACAGTCTTTTATGCGTATGGAAATCCACTCAACTCAATTCAGTAACAAAACAAGTAACAAATTGAAATAATAGATCCACCTCATATATCAAAATATTTCAAAATAAAAAAATTTATCTTTTTATTTTAAGTCCAATATTTGTTGGAATGAATACTTTAGATCCAGATAGATCGTATCTTGTAAATTATTTCTTTTTTGTCAATCGACGTTTCTTCTTTTGCGCTCCTTAATAACCAAACAATTGAATCGCTTATAATGATAACTATCTAATTTCTGTCTTCTTTTGCTACTCATTTTTGATCATCACAAGATTCTTCAGACATTTTATTCTATTTCTGGACTATGGGTGGGGTAGTCAGTGAAATTTTTTCGAAATAGTTGATATTTTGATAGAATGATAGAAAAGGAATTCTTTCGTCTCAAAATTTGAATAATATTCATTACTTGAAAGTGGTTCTTTCGGGCATTCATCGAAAGGGGACACTTGCTTCGAATTTGACCAATTGGGATATCTGGAAACAATATTTTTTTTTATTATTTCTTCATTCTAAATTCGAAGTGGATTCTGATTCTATTTCTGTATTCTTTCTAGATTCAAGGACTAACCACGGAATCACAAATAAAAAACAGTGAATAGATTCATAGGTTCGATACCTTGTAATAGAACTCATGCTTGATAGAAATATTAGATCACATAGAGTCGACGAATGAGATGGGTTCATTAACAATTCACAGATGAAAAAATGGCAAAAAATAAAACATTCACTCCTCTTCTTTGTATCTATAGTATTTTTGCCCTGGTGGATTTCTCTCTCATTTAATAAAAGTCTGGAATCTTGGGTTACAAATTGGTGGAATACTAGGCAATCTGAAATTTTTTTGAATGATATTCAAGAAAAGAGTATTCTAGAAAAATTCATAGAATTAGAAGACCTCCTCCTCTTGGAGGAAATGATAAAGGGATACTCGAAGATACATCTACAAAAGCTTCATATAGGAATCCACAAAGAAACGATCCAATTAATCAAGATACACAATGAGGATCGTATCCATACGATTTTGCACTTCTCGACAAATATAATCTGTTTCATTATTCTAAGTGGTTACTCTATTCTGGGTAATGAAGAACTTGTTATTCTTAACTCTTGGACTCAGGAATTCCTATATAACTTAAGCGACACAATAAAAGCTTTTTCTATTCTTTTATTAACTGATTTATGTATAGGATTCCATTCGCCCCATGGTTGGGAACTAATGATTGGCTCTGTCTACAAAGATTTTGGATTTGTTCATAACGATCAAATTATATCTGGTCTTGTTTCTACTTTTCCAGTCATTCTAGACACAATTTTTAAATATTGGATTTTCCGTTATTTAAATCGTGTATCTCCGTCACTTGTAGTGATTTATCATTCAATGAATGACTGAAAACCGATCCGCTGATATTAATCCAATTATAATGTTTCTTACTTTGTATTTGTACATAAGTAAAACATTTTTAAATCGTACTTACTCTTTACATTTCTACCCATACCGGGGATTCGTCTTATATTTCAGTAAAATTATTCCAGTAAATAGCAGAATCGTGGATAGGGAACTATAATAGCGACCTACCCCAATTTATTGTAGAAATTTTCGCGATCAATGATTGGACCATGCAAACTAGAAATACTTTTTCTTGGATAAAGGAACAGGTTACTCGATCCATTTCCGTATCGCTCATGATATATATCATAACTCGGGCATCCATTTCAAGCGCATATCCCATTTTTGCACAGCAGGGTTATGAAAATCCACGAGAAGCGACGGGGCGTATTGTATGTGCCAATTGCCATTTAGCTAATAAGCCCGTGGATATTGAAGTTCCACAAGCGGTACTTCCGGATACTGTATTTGAAGCAGTTGTTCGAATTCCTTATGATATGCAACTGAAGCAAGTTCTTGCTAATGGTAAAAGGGGGGCTTTGAATGGGGGGGCTGTTCTAATTTTACCTGAGGGGTTTGAACTAGCGCCTCCCGATCGTATTTCTCCCGAGATGAAAGAAAAGATAGGCAATCTATCTTTTCAGAGCTATCGCCCCAATAAAAAAAATATTCTTGTGATAGGCCCCGTTCCTGGTCAGAAATATAGTGAAATCACCTTTCCTATTCTTTCCCCAGACCCCGCTACGAAGAAAGATGTTCACTTCTTAAAATATCCTATATACGTAGGCGGAAACAGGGGAAGGGGTCAGATTTATCCCGACGGGAGCAAGAGTAACAATACAATTTATAATGCTACAGCAGCGGGTATAGTAAGCAAAATCGTACGAAAAGGAAAGGGGGGGTATGAAATAACCATAGCAGATGCGTCGGATGGACGTCAAGTAGTTGATAGTATCCCTCCAGGGCCCGAACTTCTTGTTTCAGAGGGCGAATCTATCAAATTTGATCAACCATTAACAAGTAATCCGAATGTGGGCGGATTTGGTCAGGGAGATGCAGAAATAGTACTTCAAGATCCATTACGTGTCCAAGGTCTTTTGTTCTTCTTGGCATCTGTTATTTTGGCACAAATATTTTTGGTTCTTAAAAAGAAACAGTTCGAGAAGGTTCAATTGTCCGAAATGAATTTCTAGATTCGCGGATTTATCAACATCAAGTTCGTAAAAATTCTCGTTGGCGATTATGTATGGTCAAAAAATTTAATTATGAAAGAAAAACTTTTGCTTGTTTATATTCTTTTTCTACTAGATGCCGGGAATTCCTTGTACTGTGTTCCTAGTCATAGAGTATGTAGATTGTAAAGAATACTATTTTACTTTCCCCTTTCTTTGTTTTTTTAATCCAAATTGGGGCGGTGCGACTGTGTTACTATTTCCAGATTTAAATGTCATAAAATACACCAATCGTTTTTTATTCGACGAGAATCAAATTCGACTAGATACTAGACATAAGTAAGCGGGGAATAAAAACGGATAAATGCTGGGAAAAAAAATTCTAGAAGGGATTCTTCGTCTTACTAGTCTTCGACACAAGAAGGGGGTGTGGAAAATGCCTTTTCTTGTGTCGAAATAATAATGATTCTTGATCCCGTTCGTCAAAGGTTCCTATTCTTAGTTTCGATTTTTTCCAGATTTATCAGAACTTTTTTTACGTATAATATAATAAGTAGCGGACAAACAAAAAAAGAGAGGGAAATTTATTGAGTAAATAAAACTTCTTCAATAAACTTATAAAAAATAATGTAAATTTTGATGAGATACTAAAAGAAAAT